TCCTTACTTACCACTATGGCTGGGGCCGAGGAAGCCGGTGGCGGGGCTCTCTGGGCCTCCCCTGTGCCGCAGCGCTTTTGCACGGGCCTGGGGGACCCGGTGGCGATCTCTGGGTGTCCCCCGGCCGCAGCGCTTTCAGCGCCGGGGAGCTGGGGGTGGGGTTGCCATCGCCACCATTTGCATGGGCTTCTGGGCTGCCGGAGCAGTGCTCCGGCGCACTCTGGCTCCAAAAGATCCATGAATATAGCAATTCAGTGCTATACTGCTGGCAGAAAAAGGCAGAATAGAACACACTGCGAAAATGGTTGGCGAAAAGAATCAGCACGGTTTGAAATGGCCAAAGCACTTCAGACATGGCTGATTAGAGGATCTGAATATGCTGTATGCAACTTCAGTCCCAATTTCCCCCTTAACTGAAGTTGGGCCAACAACAGATAACTATCGGCTTACAACAGCAGTGTAAAACGGGCTTGAGACTGGACTTCCTTTTTTTGGTATGATTTGGCTCACAGCACTAGTCCTTACAGAAGTAATAAACATGTAGCTGTCTCAGACTGAGCTCACATGAGTGTTCACTCCTACAGCCAGTTTGGTGTAGTGGTTAAGTGTGCAGACTGTAATCTGGGAGAACTGGGTTTGATTCCCCACTTGCACCTGCTGGATGACCTTGGGCAAGCCATAGTTCTGGCACAGCTGTTCTTGAAAAAGAGCAGTTTCTGTCAGAGCTCTCTCAGCCCCACCTACCTCACAGGCAATGTTCTTTCTAAGCTGTAGAGTCTTGTGAGCAAAAATTCTACTTTTTGAGCTACTGGCATTAAAGTTGTGAGTGAGCGATTTGGGTAATGCATAAATTAGTTTGCTCTGGAGCTAAGACAGAAATGTGTGAGCTGGAAGCTAAAAACTGTGAGCTAGCTCACACTAACTCAACTTAGAGGGAACACTGCTCACAGGGTGTCTGTTGTGGGGAGGGGAAGGGAAAGGAGTTTGTAAGCTGCTCTGAGACTCCTTTGGGTAGTGAAGGGCGGGGTATAAATCCAATCTCTTCTTCTTCTTCTACATACAAAATAATCCCTCCATACAGAAACCCAAAAGACAGAAAGGTCGGTTCTAATTGTGTGTGCAGTTTGTGCACCTGCATATAAGCATGTGTATGTAGGGGGAGTTTTTCAATTATGTGCCCCCCCCCACATGCATTCTAAAGTGGTTCAGCCCAAACTCAAAAACTAGATTATAATTAACATCACCTAAAGTAATATTGTCTGAATATATTTAGTCATTTGTTTTTGCAAAAGATGATATTTTTGACAATTCTACACATCTGAATTTGCAGTTTACACTTCCAAAAGGTCTCTTGGAATCTGGGAGGAAAAAAACCATTCCTTTAGTTGAAATCATGTCAGACCATCCATTCCGGCTCCTTATCACAATTAGAGCTGCCGGAGTAATCTAAAGCTAACCTGCCTAGATGGTGAGAGGAAAGGTTATTTCATCAAGTTCCCAAGCTTAGTTACCAATGGTGAAAGAAGGCTTACCTCAGCAATCTTCAGTACTGAACTCCCATTCAGCTCAAATGTAGGGGTGTACGTTATACAGAGCAGAACCTATAACGAGAGCAACAGCAAAAGATATAGCCTCTAGTCCGATGACTCCCTGAAATGAGCTTTGCTGATCAGGCTGTGTTCTCTGGACCAGAAGCAACAACATCACATGTCCCCTGTTTTAGTTGATCACAGAACTGCAGCACTGGAACGGGCAAGAAAGTTACTTTTTAAAAATTAAAATATTTATACCCTGCCTCTCCTCATAGTTCATGGTGGCTTACAACAATATTTTTTAAAAATCAGTTGTAATGACCCCCAAATCTCTCCCCCTTTGAAATATGCCCACCATTCAGACACCTTCAAAAGGCAAACAAGCAAGACTTCCTGTGCCTCCTGAAGATTTCTGAGGAGGGGGCTCCCCTCACGCCCTCAAGGAGCCCATTCCACAGAGCAGGAGCCAGATAGGTTACTCTGAGTGGTGGGATAGTCAACAAATGCCTGCCTGATGGCACAGGGACCTATGGAAGGAGAAGGCCTTTAAATGTGGGTCTCAGGTCACGATGGGCTTTAATGATCATAGCCAGCACCCTGAATTGAACTTGGAACAGACTGGCAGCCAATGTAGCTGTTTCAAATGGGCAACGTATGCTCCCGGCAGCTAGACTCTGACAATAGTTGGGCTGCCATGTTCTGGACCAGTTGTAGTGCCTGGGTTGTCATCAAAGGAAACTCCACATAGAGCGTGTTAAAGTAATCCAACCATGAGGTAACTGAAGCATGGATCAGCATGGCCAGCTCAGCTGAGTCTAGGTAACAAAAAAGTTGGCCAAACAGATTCTGCCAGTAGAAAGTGCTACTGGCCACTATGCCAAACTGCTTTTTGTTGGGTGTGGTCAGACGGCGTGCTGAGAGCGGGTTAAATTGCTCCGGTTCTACCCAGATTATATTTGATCTGGATAACTGTGATCACACTTACCTCCCTTATCCCGCCTCACTGTGCAGTCACGTTGCTCCCCAGCATCTACACTACCGACGCACGGGAGCGTGTGTCGGTAATATTTTTTCTCAGTTTGCGCATGCGCATAGGTGCTCATCCGTAGAATGGGGGGCAAAACTACCACGGCGCATGCGCAGAACCACAAGGGCAAAACAATCCAACCCCTCCAACAAAAGACTTCCCTTTAAACGTTTGACCTGAAAATGACCTCCATGAGATCCCGAACTCATCTAAACTCTAAAACAAGTGACCGTTTAAATGTCAGTTTTCTAAACACGATAGCGGAGCTCTGTCTATGCACGCACCACCGATGCTAAAAAAAAATGGTGGGTGAAAAGTGGAAGCCTCGGGCAGCTTTCGAGTGGGGAGGGGGTTTAAACCGGAAGTGGCTTGACACTGGAGGAGCCATCACACAGGGGGAAATGCGGCTTTAAACGGGAGAGCTGAGAAAACACCACTTTGGGACCTGGTAACAAAATACTCTGCGTTAAAGTGGTTTTGAGCAGGAAACCAATGGCTGGGGACGGGAGGCAGATGCTGTGTGATTGTGCATATAAAATCCGTTCCTGAACTGTCACGATACCAGATCAAACAGCGCATCTGAACGCACCCAATAAGTTTCAAACTCTCTCCAAAGACTCACTAAGTCATGCCACTACACACAAAAAAGTTCTACAGCTGAAAATGTTGGTTACACATGTAGCCCATGCACCAATTATTAATAATGTCAGAAAATGGCACCTTTTAAATCTGACTACCTCGCTATTGATAAAAATTATTTTTTGTAATATATGAATTCTACCACGTAACAGTGACCAGAAGCCCAAGTAGAGAATAAGCCAAATCACAGGTACCATGGGGAAATGTTGGCTCAATGGGAATTTAAAAAACAACACCAAAAATATAAACAACCTGGTCTACATTGCAGCAGGATAAGGTGGTAGAATGGGAAGTACTAGCATACAGGTGAGGGTTAGGTGAGGCATGTGAGACATTTTTAAGTTCTCCCCTATATTTTTTAAAAAATCATATAAGGTGAAAAATAATACAGCAGATAAAAAAAAATTCATATAAGGTGAAAAATAATACAGCAGAGAGTAGGCTAGATAGAACATGTCTCCCTCCATCCTGAGCATTTTTTTACATGCATGCCATCATGTACATGATGGAGCATTCAAAAATGTTATCCCTGGCTGCAGTCTGAATTAGCACAGTCCATTTTATCACCTCAATACCAACCCAAAGTCTTAAAGTAGATCTGATTGCACATGCACAGAACCTACCTTTGTATACACTAAGATTTCTCAGACTGGGGAAGAAAGAAGGCATAGTAGGCCAAAAACAGTTTTGGAATGCAAACTCTATTGGCTATTGCTAGTCATTAAATATATCCACCAAATTATGCACTCAAGTTTACAAACTAGCCTGGAGAGTAGCAATGTTTGTTCTATCAAGTTTTAATGTATAAACTGAGACATACTCTTGAACATGTCAAGTGACACAAAATATTATAAATGTTTTGTTCTAAAGGTTCACAAAGTAATTGTACACTCTGTGTGCGTGTAACTTCATAAAGCATCTAAAAATGGCAAGTGGGAATTCAGCTATTCTACCCAAACTCAATGTTGCTAAAATAAGATTCATTTGGAATACTGTGTGCAGTTCTGGTCACCACACCTTAAAAAGGATATTATAGCTTTGGGAAAAGTGCAGAAAAGGGCAACTCGAATGATAAAAGGGTTGGAACACTTTCCCTATGAGGAAAGCTTAAAGCGCTTAGGGCTCTTTAGCTTGGAGAAACGACGACTGAGGGGTGACATGATTGAGGTTTATAAGATTATGCATGGGAAAGAGCAGGTAGAGAAAGAGGTACTTTTCTCCCTTTCTCACAATACAAGAACCCGTGGGCACTCCATGAAATTGCTGAGCGGTCGGGTTAGAACAGATAAAAGGAAGTACTTCTTCACCCAAAGAGGGATTAACACTTGGAATTCACTGCCACAGGAAATAGTGGCAGCTACAAGCATGGACGGCTTCAAAAGGGAATTAGATAAGCATATGGAGCAGAGGTCCATCAGTGGCTATTAGCCACAAGGTATAGATAGGGACTCTGGGGCAAGTGATGCTCTGTCATCTTGGTGCTTGGGGGGGGTCAACAGTGGGAGGGCTTCTAATGTCCTGGCCCCACTGGTGGACCTCCTGATGGCACTGGTATTTCTGGCCACTGTGTGACACAGAGTGTTGGATGGGATGGGCCTTTGGCCTGATCCAACATTGGCGTCTCTTATGTTCTTAAGATGGAAATAGAATCCTCCCAGGCAACAAGTTAGTAATTAATTTTAGTGTTCTCTTTTGATACTATTTTAGCAGTTCTCTCTCAATGCAAGTTAAAGAATTCAAGGAAGAGGGAGAAACCCTAGCGAAAGAGACTGGGTGAGGGCAATTTGCTATTATACATAGCTGTTCTTTAAATTTGATCACCACTTCAGATTTCTAGCTATTACTGTTTGTAAAAATATGTGGGTGATCATTCTATAAAATGAGCAAATACATATAGAATTTGTTAATACATATAGAATTAATGTCATGTTCCAAAAAAGGAATTGTTAAATATCACTTATTCTTTGGAACTGTCTTGTAGTTGTTGCCTTCAAATGCACAGAGATTAAACCACAAAATGCTAGATGAAATTGTAAGGTTATAGGCTTGGGTCCAGCTGAGCTGGGGAGACATCCCACCGTTTTATGTGGCCATCATGAGAATTTTGAAGAAATGTACAACACAACTCATAAACATTTATAAAGCAATAATAAGAGGAAGGTAACAAAAGACGTTGTTAAAATTAATAATCTGTCAACTCCCAGAGATCTTAAAAGAGGTTCTTAATATTTTGTCTTCATCACTGGTGGGGGGGCAGTGGACATTATAAAGGACACCACTGGAAGTACACTGCTAAGCATGAAAGAGAATCCTGTTACTTATGATGACTACTTGCATTGGCAAACTATTAAATTGCTTCTTATCTTGCAAATGCTCTTATGAAAGTTGTTTCCATAAACGAGTGACTCATAATGAAGGCTGTGCATACTAATTACTGCTGAGTGCTTCCTGTATTAAAACAAGAAATATTGCTTGGCTCCCAGGTTATCCAGAATGTGAATGTTAATAATTTATTGAGCTTTCCAAACTAATGAGCAAGATTCTCTGAAAGAGATTGGTCAGTGGAGGTGGGCAGCATAGTGGGCCATTTTTGTATGGCCTATGAGTGATACATTCCACTTTTAGCCTACAAGGTTGCCGGTGAATGCATGGAAACAAGAAGGGATAGGGGCTCCAAAACCTTTAAAATAAGTAAAAAAAGCAGGCCAAAATAATTTCTGTTTAATGCATCATAAATTTTAAATCCAAGTCCACACCTCCCTCCAATTACATCTGGAGGAAAGAACAATGGACGCCTGGTATGCCAGTCAGACAAGCAGTTAAGAACCCAGGGAATAGTGCTACACAACCTCATCATGGCATCCCAAGCAGCCACTTGTCCTGCTTGGCCCTGGCATAGGGTGTGATCAGACGAGCTGTTTGATCCGATGTTGTCACTTCTCCCTACTGGATTTAACATGCGTGTCCAGACAGCAATATCTGTCATCCATTCCCCAGTCACCGGCCCCCCATCCTCACCCCAACTTTCCCAACACTGGAGAAAGTCAGGTATTTACAGATCCAATTATTCTCATTGCGCATTTCCAGCCGTCCGATCTCTCTGTTGCATGCTCAAGCCGTTTGGGAGGTCTGCGGCTTTCACTCCCTGACCTCCATTTTTCCCCACAGTTAGTGAGATGTGCATAACCACATATTCACACCAGGGAAAAAGCAGTTCTGTGCATGTGCAAAAGTGCATTTTAAAAAAAGAAGCTGCCCGCCCACTGATTGGTCGACCACAGGGTGAGGTGGGATTATGGTGGTCCAAACTCTCTAGAACAAATAATTCTGGAGAAAATAGAGCTGCAGCTATACCACACCAAGCCTGTTGTCTGACCGCAGCCACAGACAGAAAAGTCTGTGCACTCTCTGCAGGAAGGAAATGGACAGGCAAGGAAGTTCTAGTTTCGGTACCATAGCTGAGAAGGCTCTTTCTCAGGTTGCCACCTCTCTGTCCTTAGATGGCAGGGGAAACCAAAGCAGGGCCTCCAAAGATGATCAGAGTGGATGGGTAGGTTCATACAGGAGAAGGCAGTCCTTAAGGTGGGCTGTCCCCAAGCCATAGAAGCGTTGGACTGGGTCCAAAACAAATTGGGAGCCAATATAGCCATCAGCGTAGTGAACAAGACTGGAGTGATATGGTCTCTATGACCCACTCAACAATTCTCCATGGTGGGCCACATTCCTCTGATGCTAGGAACTTCCTTAAAAACTACTGGTCTAGTGCAAGCAGAAATGCCTAGTGCCACATAATGTGAGCTCTGCAGCAAAGGACCTCTATTGCAGGGCCTGGCAAGAATGCATGCATGGTGCAAAGGTGCAGGATCCAAGCCTACATATCTGTGATTGGCATGACAATTTAACATAAATTCATAGTCTGATGTCTGATGCTCTAGGGATTTGCCAGATCTCATTTGAGAGGTCCACAGAATGTCACCACATTTTTTCTTCTGTGGTTCAGTTAAACAGCATTGAGAGTCTGATTGCCCTAATCTGGACAAAGCAAGATGGATGACTGTAAAACAAACAGACAAACACATCCTGTCTGTCCTGCTCTTGAGCTGCAAACCTAAAAACACTTTTGTGGGTGGAGGTCCCATTGAATAAAATGGGATTTCTTAACAGACCACTTTAGGATGGTTTTCTGAACAAGGGTTCAGGACTCCCTAAAAATCATGTTGGCAGACAGGAGCTGCTCCTTGATAAAACTCTGCTCTGGGATGTTCAGAGTGCTTACTCTATGTTGGGCTGTCTTTAAAAAGTGCCCAGACAGGCCCATAGCTAACAACTTTTTTCTCAGGGGGCCAATGTTTTTCTCAGGGAGGCCTGCCATTATATGTCTGTGTGGTACTGCCTTGTGCCCTGGCCTGCCACCGCTCACCTTAGGGTTGCCAAGTGAATTTGTCTTACTGGTAGGGGAGCCTCGCCGGGCTCCAGGAGCCATCCGTCGATGTGTGCGCGCCACCAGCACGTCACCGGAGGCCACGCCCCCAATGTGATTGACGTGGTTGCGTCACCTCTGGTGACGCAGCCACGCTGTGCTTCGGGGGCGGAGTTCCCCCCGGGGCCCGATTCCGCGGCGGGGGGAATCGGGCCTCCGAAGCGGGGGTTTACCTGCCACCCGCCCCCACTTGGCAGCCCTAGCTCACCTGTGCAGTGCCTCTCCGTCCCACCCAGCCCATCCCAGCAAAGGCCAACGGTTCAACCCTGCCTGAGCACATGGGACACGACTCATATCCTTGACATTGACAACTAGTTTGCGGTTTCTTCTCCCTTCACCATTCGCTCCTTGGCAGAGAAGGATTCCTCCCCTCCGCCCCTGGCTGGCATTGCCCTCAAAGCCTCTCTCTCACACACATACCCGAGCCAGTTCTGTGTCAGGCACCCTCCACACCTCCTCCTCCTCCGAAGGGCTTGCCTTGCTGGAGATGCCCCGTTCACCGCCACGGAGGACGCCACGTGGCACTGTCCCTTTAAGGCATGTGAGGGAGAGCATGAGAGAGAGAGAACCCCTGCTGGCGCATCACTAACAACCCCTCCATTAACAATCGCCACCTTGCCTCCTCCTCCTCTGTGGTTAAAGGGCGCACAGGTTGGCGCGCACTACGCCGAGCCAGGGGAGGGGAGTTAATGAGGGAAGCGGGCAAGCCAAGCAGCAGCCTGGAGCTCACTGGCTACTAGGAAGATGAGGAGGAAAGCTTCAAGCAGTGGCAGCAGTCGGATGCCGGCATCAGCCGGTCCCCGCATGCCTGGCTTCTTCCGCAGAGCCTGTGCATGCCCCAGGGCCAAACCCCGCCGCCCACTCGCTTGCTTGCTCCCCTTGAGCCCCTCCGTGTAGAGCGGGGGGGGGGGGAGTAGAAGTGATTGATTGGGGGAGGGTGCTCGCAAAAACCATGGGGAAAGCCTGGGCTCCATGGGCCCCACGTTAGCTACGGGCCTGTGCCCAGAAACTACAGCTGGACCATAATGTGGCATATATAGCAACTCCACTACTTTCCAAATAATTTCCAGACAGTTCAAAATGATACTTCAGCCCTTTACAGTCCTAAACAATCAGGGTAACTGAAGGAACACCTAGCCACCTATGAACCTGCCTGCTTAGATTATCACCTGAAGCTCTATCTCATGTGCCTGAGATTAGGTGAGGACTACTAGGAACACATCCACTTCACTGGTGGCTTCTGAGCTGTAGAACTTCCTCCCCAGTTTGATGCAGTGGTTAAGTGCACAGACTCTAATCTGGGAGAACCTGGTTTGATTCCCCATGCCTCCATTTGCAGCTGCTGGATGACCTTGGGCAAGCCATAGTTCTGTCAGAGCTGTTTTTGAAAGAGCAGTTTCTCTCAGAGCTCTTTCAGCCCCACCTACCTCACAGGGTGTCTATTGGGGGAGGGGAAGGGAAAGGAGTTTGTAAGCCACTCTGAGACTCCAAGTGAAGGGTGGGGTATAAATTCAATCTCCTCCTCCTCCTCTTCTTCGCCTTCCCAGAGAAGCTCAATGAAACCCCTCTCTATCCTTAACACCTTTCAAGAGTAGAGGAGGGATATGAGTTTTACAGTGCAATCCTAGTCAGAGTTGTGTGTGAAGTGTTGTCAAGTAGTGTATGGGCCCCAATTCAGACTCTGCCAAATCATGGGGGTAAGGTTTTGCTCTTTCCACCCCCACATGGTTCTCGTAATACTTCTACTGATCAAAACCATTTCCATCATTCCCGACAAGGGAAGTGAAACTGGGAAGGGGGAGGAGGAATAGAAAGGCAAACTCCTTTCTCCCTCCAGGGAAAATCACAGTTTTTTGTCATTTTCTTGTTTTTTATATTTTATGTTAGCTGTACTGACCACTGCTTAATGATGAGAGATCAATGCTTTATATAAATAAATACGTTCCCTTATTTTTTTTCAGTTCAAATGTGTCGCACACTCATTCTGCAGCACTTTATCATTGGAGAACCCTATCCTCTTCTGTAAGTACACACTACTGTTCACTTGAACACTTTCTCTACTTGAAATGTCCACAACCCCATTGTAGCTACTACCTGATACAACTGTATTCCAAATTGCATTTCTGTCTTTTACATATATGTACCAACAGCAGGAGAGAGGCTTAGGTGACAGATGCAAAATATTTCCTGGATTTCCTTCAGAACTGAAACAAATCAAAATCCCTGCACAAATTAACTGTTTAAGATCATCAAGTGACTCATTGTTTAATCCTCAAGGATATTCTCTCTCCCCACAGTGTCTCAGTTTACCCTCTTTATTGCTGCTACAATAAATTCCTGTTTTTATGGACAGCAAAACAAGTCTTTTATTCCTACAATAAAACCAGTCGTTATGAGCGCTGTGGGTTAGAAAGACACAGCAGCAAGAACACTGCTGTTTACACAGACTTTTAAGCAGCCCTGTTTCAACCCAACCTCCTTCTTAAATTCATTATGCAGTTTAAAAATAGACTGACTGCAAGGGGTACTCAGATGCATTTTCTGTGAAGAGGCATAGCTTGTCCAGCCCCACCACACCCACCATGGAACCCATAAGAATATGGAGACCAGAAGCAGGTCATGGATTTGCAAGCCTTCTCCCTTGCCTTCTTCACTGGACATAACATAGTGCCTGAATCAAAGACGGCAAGATTCTCTTCAGCCAGTGATTCAAACTGCTTTCAGGTATGGTCTGAGATTGATGTGGTATGACCCAATTCAGGGATCACATTGTGTATGTGGTGCAGTCTGAGACACCATTTAGAGTTCAATGCCTATCCACATGCAGATTAACAACTAACCCTTCCCAGTTCTTAGTTTCCTTAACATTTCTTTATTTTTTTATGTTTCAGTTAATGAGGTGCAGAATTCATTATATTCCTACAGTTATTAAAGCTATCTGAGTATTACCTCCATAATCCTAAAGGTAAGACACTCCAATTGCTGTAAAAACATAATCCGCTATAAGCTTTTGTGGCTCTAGTAAGAAAGATTGGTTTGGATGCTAAATTTCCAAACCTTTTAGAAGATAACGTTGGAAAGAACCCCACCCCTTTTTAAATATTTAGCACGTTTTTAATAATAATAGCTTTCGACAAATTTCAAATGGTTTTAAAAATACCCTAATTTTGGTTGTAATGTACAGTTTGGCTTAACTCAAAGCTAAGGCATCCTTCTCCTGAATAGATGTCTATTCTTGGAATAAATATTTATATTCTATACAAAAAGTTGAAGACGACGAAGTGACTTCAGTTCTTTCTAATTAACTAACATGCATTTTTTGTAACATGTCCCAAAAATCTCCATTAATAACACAGCTCTGAAACTAGGAGACAGAAGCCAAAGGAGATGCCCTGATGACCTAGGGAAATTGGAGTGGAAAAGCTGAAAAGTATGGGCTGGAGCCAGACTAAATTGGCAGTTTCCACTAATTCTCTCTTCCCATCGCAGACCCCCTAAAACGTTTGCCTATTTGACAGGAGCAGCATTTCATGGATATAATTGAGCTCTAGGGCAGGAGGGAGGCTGGAAAGTTCTGTTCTACTGATGGAAAATGTAGCCTGGATGCAACTCAGAGGGTCTGGCCACATGGTTTATAACACAGAAACATGTGAACTTGTCTAAGACTTTCCTCACAGCCAGTTTGGTGTAGTGGTTAAGTGCGTGGACTCTAATCTGGGAGAACCGGGTTTGATTCCCCACTCCTCCACTTGCACCTGGCTGGATGACCTTGGGCAAGCCATAACTCTGGCACAGCTGTTCTTGAAAAAGAGCAGTTTCTGTCATAGCTCTCTCAGCCCCACCTACCTCACAGGGTGTCTGTTGTGGGGAGGGGAATGGAAAGGAGTTTGTAAGCCGGTCTGAGACACCTTTGGGTAGTGAAGGGCGGGGTATAAATCCAATCTCTTCTTCTTCTTCTTCTTCTTCTCACAGGCCTGGTGTAAGCGAGGTAGCCAATAGGGCACAGTAACAACAGGGCTCCCAGATTATGGGTTTCCCTGCCCCAGCCCCCCCCCTGCAGTAGCCACCCCCCCACACCAGTGGGGGGGCTTTTTCCGAGAGTTTTTTTTTTTTAAAAAAACTGGTGGTTGACATATTAGTATACCATTAAATCAATAAATCAATTACAGAACTTAAAAAAACATTTCATCACACTGGTGGCATAGGGGGGAGTGACAAATGACTGCAATGTGGTGGGTTAGGGAACATCTTTCCTATAATATTGCAGCAAAACATGTTTGGGAAAAAACTGCAGGAGCATTAAGGGAAACAGAGTTGGTACATGCGAACACCTTAATGCTGTGGGTAAGAGGGAACAACTCCTGGCTCCGAATAACATCCAAACCAGGGCAAAGAACACATGTTTAAATGACTCAGGAGAAAAAAACATCAATTTCCACAGCAGTATAATTACATTTTTGTAGCAATCAATGCCCATGTAAGTCACAACAGGCAAATCAATGGTAAATGGGGAAATGACACATTTATGTCATTGGTCCAATAAAAAGAGAACAGGTGGCCACCATGTCCTTCAAGTAAAAATGCTGTAAACAGTCATTATTTAGCCTGTGCCTTTTCTCTGTAATTGCTTATTATTTTTATAATACAGCACAGACTTCTGTTTGTTTCTGTGCCCATATGATATACTGCACACACAGTACTTGCTAAATTTATGGAAATTAGTTCTGCCAGACTCAGGGTGAAAATGGGGATTGCTACCTATTAATATTATGAGAAATATTCATAGCAGCCATCCAGAGGTTCTTTATCACGTTAATTAACCATAAAGAAAAACAGTCTCATAAATACTAGAAAAGGTCACTACTGCCAGCAGTTCAGGGGAATAGTTGAGCTGGGATTAATCAGTTATTTCCATCTCTCCCTTTTCTTTCTCCACAGCAGCCATCTCAGCAGTTTCATATTTTCTAGGATACTGAAGAATGCTATTCTATAACAGAGAATGGCCTTCCAACTATTATTTTATCCTCTGTCGTAATCTTTTGTTTCCCAAAAAGAACCCATTTTATGCTATGGGACAAAAACAGTATAACTAGCCTGGCTTCAGAGCCAGTAATAGGAGTCTGGATACCAACTGAACTGCAACAGAGACTCCCAACACACCCTGGATCCCTCGTTCTTTCATCTGATCTCTTTGCAGAATAGAACAGGTAACCTTTGCTCTCCCTTTTGATCTATCCCCCCCATTTTCCAAACACACTTGCAACACACAGGGTGCGTTCAGACGGGGGCTTTACATCGGTATAGGTGCCGGTTGCAATCGTTGTACTCACCGGCGTTCAGACGGCGAACATCTGCCTCCTGTCCCTAACCGGTGTAAAGCCCTTTACACCATTGCACTCTGCCACTAGGTCCCCAAGTGGTGGTATCCTGAGTGCAACGGTTGTAAACGCTGTACCTCG